AATTTTCACGCTCGCCTTCCTTCCTCACCCAAGCTCACGACCGGCGCTCTCGCGAACTCCTCTCTCGAATTCTGCATCTCGTCCTCTCTTCTTCCTTTCGTCCGACCTGCTTCTCTCGCGCACTATCACTATGGACCTCTCTCTCGCCGTCAATTTCGGTAAGGATTTTTTCTAGGGTACAATTTTTTTTTTTCGTTTTTTTTTAATTAATTTCTATGTGTTTGGGCATTTGATATTCATGGAACAAGATTTTGATTGTGTTATGTGATTTCTATGTAAGCTGCTGATGGGAGTAAGAAGTAATGAGTGAAGATTAAAATCCACACATTACGAATCCTCTTTTTAAATGAATCCCTCGAATGAATATTACAAAACTGGAGTTTTATAGAAACATTTTAGAAGAAGACAACCCCTTAGTGAGCCCAAAATCTAGCATATACTACCTTCATTTTAGAAACATTTTTGCTAAATCTTGTTTCATAGAAGATGACAACCCCTTAGTGAGCACAAAATCTAGCAAAATTGGACAATGTGGAGGATCTTTGCTCACAAGGAAATTTCCTACATTAATATCACCAGACATCCAGGACACGATATAACTTATTTCATATAAACATAAGCAGATATGCCTTGTGGTGTACGGTCGTATTCAGTGAAAAGAGAGAAATCAATTGTGAATGTATAGATGTATTTAATTGACCGAGATAAAAATATAACTATAATGAAGATTCATTTGTTATGGTGTATGAAATAACGAATGTACATTCTTAACGGTAACCGATTATCAGTTACCGAATCACTATCGGTTCGGTATCGGTTTTGAATCCATAAGGGTTAGGTAAAACCGAACGGAACCGATAAGGATTAAAAAAAAAAATTTACCAGAATAAGTGAAAATATTGTGCATCTCTTGCAGGATTGGTGAATTATTTACCAAAGTGAATGTCCACGATTTTTTGCTGAAGCTAAAGTTACCAAAATATCAAACACCACCTTTGGCCATTCTTACATAAATGAATATTTAATTAACAGGGGTGTGGTTGGATTTGTTAGAAAAGGTCTGCTTTAATGGCGTTGCTTCAAACCTTTACGAGTATGATGCCAAATTCAAGGGCACTGCTTGAAAAATTGGTGCAATCAGGCAGATTATGTCAAGTTTGAGATGATGCTTTCTACACCCCCTTGCCCCCTCATCCTCACTCTGCTGTTGAATTCTTATGGTTTAGACTATTTGTGCTGTGTAATTTATTTTACAGATATAGGTTTATTACTGTCACTGATATGAATATCAACTCAATTCTTTCTAAAATCAACATCACACCGTCACCGAACTCAATTCATTTACAAACAACGAAAAGAAGAGATTCAATTCATTTGCTTGGCATTTTAGCAATTGCAAACCTGTTAGCAGGGTTCGGTTTTCGGTTTGTTATCTTCTAATCGGTTTGGTTTCGGTTTGCATTTTAGTGTTACCGAACATATCAATTCGGTATCGGTTTTCTCTTATTGGTTCGGTTACCGAACCGATACCAGCCCTACATTCTTATGTATTAAAATTAAAACCAATAACGAGAGTACTTTACAACAATTGTTATAGTAATTTTGGAAACGACATTATATACCTAATTTAAGCTCCTTGTTTGATCTATTTAAGTTCAGTGTTAGTACTTATTGCTTGTTTGATCTATTATGACTTATGTTGTCTTTCTTTTCTGTTTTTAGGAACCAAAAAGGAATATGCGTTTGATATACCTTCCAAATGCAAAGCAGTCGTGACCAATCAGTGTAACCTCAAAGTTGTCAGTGAATTATTTGACAACCTAGAAAAAGCATATAAAGATCGATTTGTAGAGTCTTGCTTCCGGCCACTAGTAAATATTCCCGAGCTCATATTGTCCTCGCAAATAATCCACCAAGTACTTCGTAGGACATTGAAAGCGTCCGAAAATGAAAAAGATGTCATGTGGTTCAGATTTGACGAAATTGTATGTTCCTTTCTGCAAAGAGGGCAATGGCCATTGGCTCGCACTGGAGATTGATCTATCCCAGAGATGCATTTACGTCTATGATAGCGAAACAAGTGTCATGCGGAGGGCACAACTGGAGAGGCAACTTGAGCCCATTCGAGTTGTGGTACCGATGCTACTGACGAAGCTGAATGCTAACTACAGTGCTGAAAAGTTTGATTGGAAACGGTTGACATCTCCTAGCCAAAGCAATGGGTACGTATTGTTAGAGTAGGGTACCCGGCGTTCCAATCTAATTGGACGTATTCTACTTGTAAATACAGTCTATTGGAATTATATTATGAATAAGGCATTTCTTTATCTTAAGAGAAAGCATTTATCTTATAATTGCACTTAAGATAAAATCCCTAGATCACTTATGGTTATAAGGTATGGTTGCGCATAGAGATGGTGATCATGGAACATACCTTGAAAGCCGTGATCTTAAATACAGTTCCAAGTCGATGGATGTTTCGAGATGGGATATCGAATAATCCATAAAAGACTTGCACATAGTTTGTATGCTTGTTGGACAAGAATGTTGCATTCCATCAACATTAGCGTAAGACGTAAGTACATTTATGTGGGTGCTTGTTAGAGAACAAGTTCACTGAACATGACCGTATGAAAATTCTTAATGAAGAATTTATTCAGTCGAATAAGAATTTTCATGTTACAATAGTACATGACTAATCCTAAGACTTGAGGCACAATGGTAACTTTGTGCATATTACATTCTACTTTGATTTATCCTTTTGGTAGCTAGCACTATCGTTTAAAGGGATAAGTTGGGTATTATGTTAATATGTATGGAAGTTTGTTAGTGGCCAATAAAGGATTCGACACTTATGAAGATAAGTGAATTTCCTATGTGTTTCATAGTTATTAATCCAAAGTCCTTGGCCAAGGCAGAGATGAATAGTGATTCATAACCGGGTTAATAAACATGAAATAGAATCATAGTTATTAAGTCAATTTGGGTTTCGACAAAATCATACCCAAGACTTAATCGGGAAATTAGATGTCGAAAGGATTTTACATGTATGGAGTTGTAATCGGAATAGGTTTACTCGCTATTCACTTAATACTAGATTCATGCTACTTGCTAGGTGTTACCATGATATGTGGGTTCATAAATTAAAGGGTTAATTCATGAATAAGAGTTAATAAGATTTAACTCAAATTACAAAGTGTTGTAAACCCACTACTAGTATTAAGGTGAACCTAAAAGGTCACACTAATTATGAACAAAGGTAAAGATTGTATTTCTAATGGTTAGAATTAATTGATAAATATCTAATTTGATTAGATATCAATTAAAGGAATATATTAATCAATAAGATTGATTAATTACATTTTGGATATTACTTTAGTAATTAAGGTAATTACTAAATTAATAAAGTTGAATTTTAAAATAGGATTTTAAATTTCAAAAATCCAAAATAATAATAATATGATTATTATAATATTGGGAAAATGATATAATAATAAAGTCTTGAGAAAGATTCTCAAGATTTATTATCCAATTATTATTTATATCTTTAAATATGATTTAAGGATTAAAATAATAAATATGATTATAATAAAATGGTTGTTGATGGTTGTTTGAACTACTTAACATATCTTATTATTTTCAAAGTCAAAAGTTAGTAAATACTATTTAAATAAAATTTGATTTTATTTAATATTACTAAATGTTGATTATTTTATGCTAAAATGTTTAGTATAAATATATGCAAAATGGTTTTGCATTTAAGTGAAGTTTTTGATCCTAAATTTCTAAGTGTTAGAAAGAGAAGAAAGTGTTCTTCATAAAACTTCAAGAAAGAGTTCTTAAAATTCCCAAATAAAATTCATAAATATTCCTATACAAGAAAACCGAGTCTTTTCTACTAGCGAAGGAAAGTCGTCGGAACCGGGCTTCATAGGGTGGGTACGTTTAGAGGGAAGACACTTGGATTCCTCTAGCGAGTAACCTCAAGTCGTTGAAGTTACAACCGGGAACCGATTCCCTCATCCATCATCAATAGTGAAGGAGTTCAAGAAATTCGGTAAATATTTTTACTAGTATTTACTTTATAGTAACAAATCAAAATTTGTATATGATGCATGTTTTAAAGATGATGATCAGTTAATTCGCAATTAGTATGTACGGGTGTTGTATTTATACGATAAATACTTACTTTAAAAATTTTAAATTCCGCTGCGTACAGCACGTACGGTACTATCGAACCCAACACGTATAATATATATTTTGATCATATTTGGTTTTTAAGTGTATTATGAAACTTGGTAAAGAAATAGAATTTGTACATTTATGTTGCAGGTTTGATTGTGGGATGTTTACAATCAAGTTTATAGAATTTTTGCATGTGGGGAAGAATGTTGGAGGCGTAGATCAATCTCGGATTAGTGTTTGACGTGTAAAACTAGCGGCTGAAATATTTGGTGCTCATTTTGATCCATAGTTTGTTTTAAACATTCAATATGTAACGGGTTGTAGGGATCTTTTGGATAATACATTTTTGTATTACATTTCATGTGTTTTTCAATGCAATGATGCGGGAGGTTGATTTTTGAAGTTGTATTTTTTACGTACTTCCCAATGTAGTGGTTATAATAGTATTTTATCAAAATGGTTAAAAATATTACTGTAACGAGAAGTTTTAATGTAATAAATAACGAAGGGGTTCGATGCCGAGCTCCCGAAAATAAGTTGAGGAACCGATTATAAGTCATTTCAAAAATAACGAATGTACAGTCGTTATTTTTTTTTATGAAATAACGAATGTACATTCGTTATTTTAAAAAAAAAATAAAACTTGCTTGTGGCTGGTGCGACGTCCGTCGCGGCCGCGACGTCCTGGCAACATTCTCTGTCCGACCAAGAACAAGGCCCAGTGTCGCGCCCGCGACATGAAGTTGTTTCATATAACGATTGTACAATCGTTATTTTGTATGAAATAACGATGTACATTTGTTATTGTGAAAAAATAAACAATAAAACTTACTTGTCGCGGGAGCGACGTCCGTCGCGGCCGCGACGACCTGGTAACCTTCTCTGTCCAACAAAGAACAGGGCCAATGCCGCGCCCGCGACATATGTCACGACAGCGACATATAGTCGTTTCAATATAACGATTGTACAATCGTTATTTTGTATGATATAACGAATCTACATTCGTTATTTTGCAAAAAATTTAAAACTTCCATGTCGCCGGCGCGACGTCCTGGCAACCTACTATGTCCGACCAAGGACAGGGACAGTGTCGCGGCAGCGACGGTTCGCCCGCGACAAACACTCGATTTGAAATAACAATTGTACATTCGTTAACGAATGTACATTCGTTATTTTGAAAAAACATGACAAATGTACTCTCATGATGGTTGTTTTGATCTCGGTCGATTATAAAGAAATCAATGTCGTTATATTACATTTTAAAATCAATGAAGAATCGTTAAACTAGTAATTTAACAATAGTCGTGTCGTTTTGGTCGTATTTAATAAAAAAAAGCGCGCGACACCAGAAAAAAAACCTTTGTTTCAAAAAGAGTTTCGTTATGAGTATTTCGACGCTCTAATGGGTCCAAACTATCGTTAAAAGTGATATATGACCAACAACAATGTTTTACAAGTGATTCCATAAAAAAAAAAACCAAAACGGGAGCACTTTCGTTGCGAATTTCAAAATAATGACTGTACATTCGTTATGGTTCATTTTCGATCAAAAACACCTAAAACTCGATATATAATCCATTAGATATTACACTCGTTGTAGGTACAATTCTACTCATTTTTCATGTAAAGTAGGGAATACACAAAGATTATAAATCATCTATCCATTTTTTCAGAAAAAAAAAGACAAGTGTAAAAAAAAAGAGTTTCGTTATGAGTGTTTCCACGCTCCAACACCTCCAAACTATCGTTCAAAGGTGATATATGACCAAGAAAAATGTTTTACACGTGATTTTCATATAAATAACGAATGTACAAACATTTTACATCATATTTCCATTTTTCAGAAAAAAAAGAACATATATTGTTATTTTAAAAAAGAGTTTCATTGTGAGTGTTTCGACGCTCTAACACCTTCAAACTATTGTTCTAATGACAGGTAACATGAATATACATGCGTTATCGAGTAATTCGATTGAAAAAACTATATAGAAAGCGCGTTTTGTTACGGACAACAACTATAACGATTGTACATTCATTATAATATTGAAATAACGAAGGTACAATCGTTATTGAAATAACGAATGTACAATCGTTATGGTTGTTTTTCGACCAAAATTCAGATTAAATGTTCATGTGTGATTTTACACCATATTTATTGAGTATCTAGAGCTTAGTCATTGCGTTATTGGTGTATAAATTGCATATTTATGCTTTAATTCTCTATTTGTTGGAAAGGTATTACACGTGCTTGTTTTGTAGATATTTTCACGTATTTGTGGCTATTGGAGGCGCATTGTGAGTACCTAGGACCCCCGAGATGATGATGGATTGATGCACGGATGAGAAATATGGAAGAAACGAGTGAAACGGACAAAAACGAGAGTGCTGGGATGTGACACGGACGGTGACACGGGCACCATGCCCGTGTCAGGTGGCCGTGTCACGTGAACAGGGACATTCCGAGGGCTTGAACTTGACACGACCCGTGACACGGGCTGTGACACGGGCGTGTCAGGTCGTGTCGCGACGTGGGCAGTTTTTAATCCCTTGCCTTTTTCGGTTAGGAAAGGACTTTTGGACCTATAAAAAGACATATTTACCTGATTTTGAACCCTAGAACGTGATTACGCAAGGAAGGGAGCTAGAGTACACACAAGAGAAGCAATTGAGAAGAAGAGAAGATCAACCACAAGCTTACTAGTTTTTCTTTCTCTCTTTTGAACTTATTTCCTCATGTTGATTTCTAATATGTCTATGTATTTGAATTCAAACATGAGTAGCTAGATTATTTGATTCTAAGACATGGTAGTAGATTAATATGTTGGAATTTTGGATGATTTATCATAGTTGATTGTTTTCTTATGAACCCTATTCAAATATTTTGTTCTTATTTCATGTTTAGAACTTGATCAATTCTTTTACATGTTTGACAATATTGTTCATAATTCGAGAGATGAGTTCAATATTAGGTCCTTAATATTTGACACAATTTACTTGCTTGAATCGAGAGATTAGTGGGTCGTTGTGAGGATATTAGATCTTTTGTTCTAATTGGAGTTGAATTGCATGTGTTGAGTGGAGACGCTAATATATGTGATTTAATCTACGGTTTTATCGATCTCGAGAGGGACGATAGGCTAAAATTGCGATCATCTTATAGGGTAGATAAAGAAAATAGTTAGTTGTGATAAATTTGAAGGAACCCAACTGTTAATTGAACCCATAGTCTTAGAATCTACCATTCCCATATATTCTTCTTAAGTGTTTTTCTAGTTGTTTTCTTATTCTTGCTTTATTTCCTTTGATTATATTTCC